TTGATCAGCACTGACTGTGTTCTATATCTAGGACTTCTTGGGTGTAGACTGCAATGTTTGTGTGTGGTCTTTTCTCGTGACTTTTCTGTGGAGGCCTGGCACAGTCCACTGGCTATCATTAATTTCTAACAGTGTGTTTAATTTGGGTTTCCCACTGTTATGACTATTTGAAGGCTGGATTTAACTTTATGTATTTTTTTAATTCTCCCAGTGAGGGTTGCAGAAATCTGGAACATTTGAATCTTTCCTGGTGTGATCAGATTACGAAGGATGGTATTGAAGCACTGGTGAAAGGGTGTAGTGGACTAAAAGCTCTATTTCTTAGAGGTTGCACACAGGTACATAACTGCTTGGGTGATCCTTTAGGAATAAAATTTTATTTTGGGTTTTTGAAATCTCCATGAATTAAAAAATACCATTTTTGTTATAGTCTTTTGTTCAATGTTACAAAACATTTCTTTGGGCTGCTTTGCTGTGCTTTTAATTTCTTGTTTCTTTTCCTATGTCCCGTTTAATTGCTGAACACAGTTAGAAGATGAAGCATTGAAACACATTCAAAATCACTGTCATGAACTTGTGATCCTGAATTTGCAATCCTGTACTGTAAGTATTTGGAGCTTCAAAAGATACATTCTCTAAGATTCGTAAACCATTTCTGGATGCTAATGAATTGATCTCCTACACACTTGAATAATTCAAATAGTGTATCTCTGCACTTTACAGAAGTTTGTGAGGAACAGAGATCTTAAATGAGCTGGCTGTTTCTACAGCTGAGTGCAGATTTGGAGTGATGGGTTATGGGTTTTTTTTCACCTCATTATGTCTTTTAACTGTAGCAAGCTCCAGAGTAAGAATTAACTGCATTCATTTAAATCTCATGAACTGTGTATGTGCTCAGCTATGCAGTTTCACAGATGTAGATCTTGTTCTCCCATACATTAAGGTAAAACATTTTGGTCTGTTCATAATTTTAAGGTTTCTAATGGAGCAGAAGCCATATTGTGGGCTACATAATTGAGAGAAAAATGTATTGGCATCAACTGAAGATTATTCAGAACCATCTAGGTATCAGGAGAAGGACATGCTTTCTCAGTGGAAGAACACATGCTTGCTATGGCTTAGAAGCATGCTTCCAGAAGCAGCCAGGGTCTTTATGGTTAAAGGTCTAGCACTGATATTTACACAGCAGGTCTCCTTGTGCTTTAGATGATCCAAACTTTAGTTCTAGTGGCTCTGTTTTATGGACCTTGTAAAATGCCAGGCTAGCACCAGCAGCTATGGTATGAACTGATGTTAACTCTGGAAAATGCACATCTGATAGGTACAGTCTTCAGAGAAAGGTTTTAGAAAATGGGGACTTGCAGACATTTTTTGTGCATTTTTCTTTCCCAAGAGAGATGTAGGCATTGAATGACAAGCAAATTCAGAATGGAAAATTTTCGTATATAACTTGAGGATTTTGATCATCTCCAACAGCAGCATAAAATTTACATACTTCTTACCTCCAAAATAGTTTCTGTTCCCAGTAATAGTGTCATGAGTATCTCTCAGAAAACCAAGATAGTTGTAGAAAAAAATGTTCTGTGGGAGTCAAATACAGAAATACCTGATTGATGTTGGACTTTTCTTACCTGTGTATGATGCAAATCGTTCTAGATCCACAAGAAGATGATAAGACTTCTAGTTTTGTGTCTAGAATAATTTCTGCTTGGCAGAACAAATTGCAAATACAAACTTCTGATACTAACAAGTGCTGGGTTTGGGGAGGGGGCGTAAGGTGATCTCAGTGCTTGAGCTACTGCTCCTTCTCATCCTGTACTCATCTATGAAAGGTAATATTTGTGGTAACAGCCTCAGAAATATGCTCAAGTAGTATTACTGTACCTAGATGTGTGGCTTTTAAACAGAACGTGTATTTTCCGTTCAAAATAACAGTAGAGGTCTTTGTTGGTTTTGGAAGAATAATGGTAGGCCAGGAAATAAAGTAACCTGGTTCACCATGAAAGATTAGTCATTCACCAGAAAAGTTAAATTCTTGGAGTTACGAGTGGGAGAATACTTTTTATACCTTTTCCAGAATATAAGACCTGTAGACAAAATAATATTTGCCCCCACACTCCCCCAGTAACCCAGTTCCTGTTGCTATTCTGTGTGCAGTTGCGCGGGGGATATTTCTTTTAGTTCCTGTTTCCAAATTCAAGAGTTACTTTTTTCTCCCCCCCCCAATATCTAGCACAAAACAATTTTGCAGAATGAAAACCCCTCTTTTGAATTAAATCTTTCAGATGAGGACAGCACTTGCTTTGAAAATTACCCCTAGTAAAGGGTTTTTACCCTTGGGTACTGCTCCAGTGCAAAATAGGTAGTTAGCTCTACTGCTGTCTAGCTTCAAGCTCTCTTTTGCACTGTTCTTGTACTTACACTGTCACTGTCACGAAAGATCTGCACTCTACAAACATATAAGCAAGCTATTTAGTACAATGACAAATATAAATAATTTTGAAAAAGAGTGAAAATTATAAAGCAAAAGCATAGTGAAAGAGAAAGACAACAACAACTCTCCCTCTGTGCTTCAGACTGCCTTTGAGCAGTACTTGAGGTCTGTGGAAAAATACATAGATGAATAGGAATTGTGTCTCTCGATTGTTTTCAGTGTTATCAATGAACATGATTTCGTGATGGTACTTTTTGTTTGAAAATCCACAGGTTGCCACGGTTACATACAGTGTGACACTTCCAGTTCAGTTAACATGACTTGATTTTTATTCTTAGCTGATTATTTGGTAACGGAGTAACTTCAGCATTCTTCTGTGTTGCAGCAAATTTCAGATGAAGGCATTGTAAAAATCTGTAGAGGATGCCACAGACTTCAATCACTCTGTGTTTCAGGCTGTAGCAACCTTACAGATGCTTCTCTCACAGCACTTGGTCTAAACTGTCCAAGGCTGAAGTGAGTATGTCATGAGCCTGTCGTGAGTATGTCATGTTATTACTGGCCTGATCTAAGGAATTTACTTCTGAAGATAATCAGTTGATACCCACAGGTTTGATTTAGCTTTGTGTTGCTTGCGTTACCTTTGCAATCAAAACATTAAGTTAGAAGTACCAGCTGAATAGAAACTTGAGGGCTGGACCTGTGTAGCTGTGGTATTAATGTAGTCCACTGTATATTGAAAAAAAGATTTCATATATGACAAATAAGACATGATGAACTGAGCAGTTCAGTTCTGTCCTTCTAGCTAAATATTTTAGGTACTAATTGCAAGCCAGAAGAAAAGAAGATATAAAGCCCATTATTTTTTTGAAAGGTAAAAATACCTGTAGCTGTGTCCTGTGCTGTTTGTACTCTGATGTGGTTTTATACAGCCATTTGTCTTGCAAAAAAAAAAAAAAAAAAGGCAAAAGCTAAATCATATCTGAATATATTTAAAGATTTTGTGGATTTTTAATGTGGTTTTAATATGCTCTACAGCATATCCTGGCATTCTTGAATTCTGATATGGAGTGAGTGTGCTAAAGTCTCTGCAGGCACCGAGGGCTGATGTTTATGGGACATATTTTGAGTAATAAGGGCTTATCAGTTAAAAATAATGTTAACTTTTACATTGCTGTTATTTGTGCTGACATGTAGGTATTTTCAGAAGTGGGGATAGCTTCAGCTTTAATAATAAGAAATAGTTATAGAATATAATATATATAATATATAATAATAAGAAAGCTCAATCATGCAGCAGTTGTAGAGACATAATGCTTCTTGTGAGGTCTGATTTCACTGTAAGTCAAAAGATTTCTAGATTTCACTAAATTGCCATTTCTGACAGGAATGTGCAGGAGTCAAAGTTGTTATACTTCAATCAGAGATAAATGGAGGAAAGTGTAGATCATAAAAATTAGGGGAAGCAAGTGTTCAATATACTGACACACAGAGTTCCTTTAGGTGATTGAGTGAAAAAGAGCTTTTGCTATTGTAGGAAACCTGTCCTTAAGACAATTCCAGAGTGCCAGTCCCCTTCACATAACAGTTCATACTTACTAGAGCTTATGTGTGCCAGTGTTAGGGGCTTAGGAGTCTTCCGACACATGTAATTGTGTTCCTGTTCCTGTAATTGTGTTACTATGGGTCTCTTCCTGCGATTTCTCTCGTTCTCTCAATTCACAGCTCGAACTGGAAATGGGAGTTCTAAAGTGCTATTAGTTGTGCAGTTCTTTCCAGTACAACTGTAGCAGCAACCGGTTTATCTTGCTGGGTAAACTGTTAGCTCCTGTCTGTGCCACGAGGGGGAAGGCTTCTGCCGTTCTTCTGTCATGAGGAACAGCGCAAGGAAAGAGAAAGGCTCTGCAGTGATTACCGCAGAGGAGTGCATGATGAAAGGACAGATGGTACAGCTGTTTACATCTAGACTTTTGGGACCGTGTAAGGAAAGTACTTTATAAAAACTTACATTGGCAATCAAAGGGAAATCTAATTTCACACTTCTTCATACCTTCTGAGTATTTTCAGAGTATGAAAGAAAATGCTGCTGCCTCTTTTAGAAGCTTTTGTTTCTGGTTTTTTGTACTGTGCTACTTACTTCAGGTATGGGAGCCCTACTGTGCTGCTTTCCATGATACACTGTGTTCTGCAGCTGTTACCACTCACAATTATACCTCCTTGAAAAAAATGCTAACCTTGACCAACTCCCTTCAGCTGCTTTTTCCCCTGCATCAAGATACAGCTGTCCCCTCATCTCTCTTTATACCTGCTCATTTAAGCACTTGATCGCTTCTTTTTCTTTTCTTTTTGTTGTTGTTGTTGGTTTTTTTTTTTTTTTTGGTTTTTTTTTTTCATTTTTAGCACTTTCAAATGCTAAAACACTGGTAGGACTTTTGGTGAGGCTTATTGAGAAAAGCACCCATGAAAGTCTTTGTCTAGATGGGGCTGTGAAAATTAGGATCCTCTTCCTTTTAACCTCACCAGTGTTATCTCCCACCTGCTGCTAATTCAGCAGGATTAGGGAAGTGCTGTGTGTGGAGACAGTCCAGGTGTAGACAGAGTGTTACTGGGAGGTCTGCTTTATAAGAGTGACGAATCTGCTCTTGGTTATTATTTTGCCTCATCAGCTTCTATTCTAGGTATTTTGTCACAAATCACTGGATGGGAAATAAATGTCAGCTCTATCTGAGGGGGAGAAAAGAAAGAGCTCTCTGTGATTAAGAACAATCACTGAAAGCAAAAATTAGAACTTTGCCCATTTTCATGGTGCCTTCCCACCTGTTTTTCATATGGGGGATGATTGCTGCAGCATGTGTATATACAGCTTGCTCTCCCCATTCTGCTTGTCAACCTAACTGCACACCCAAGCTCAGGAAAACTAGAGCTGCTCATCTTCTGGTTTCTTACCTCTCTGTTTCCATCTTCTTCTCAACCAGATGTAAGTAGCATCTTTACTATTTTGCACACTGCAAATGTCATCCCCTTCTCCCGACTTTAAAATCAGAAATGTAGTGGGGCTGGGGATCCAGTGGTTTTAAGTGAGGTGGGGTTGAAAGCAAGGAATCAATGAAAGGAGTAGGAAAGGTAACATGTGACCTGAGTCATATTTGGTGGTGGTGGGTTTTTTCCATTCTTATTTGGTATCATGGATAGTTTTCAGAGTAGCTGAGAGTATTTTATGATAGGTTGGTAGCTGTCCTTGATGGAAGGGAACAAAGTTCCCAAATGTGAGTCTGTAGAGAAAATCCAGGGGTGTTACAACCATCCACTTGAGAAGCTGTACCTGTGTTGTACCTCTCTGTTGGCTGCTCTTGAGTTTCCATTGTACTTTTGAATTGCGTTGGAGACAAGCACTCTGGAAGTGGTTTTCAAGGGTGTATCCTGTGGGGCTTTACCTCTGAACTCTGCTGTGCTGTTGCTTTTGGCTTGGAAGAGACTGATCCAGCAAAGCCATAGTCGGGAGTCTGCCATGGTTTAACCCCAGCTGGCACCATGCAGCTGCTTGCTCACTCCTGCTGCATGGTTTCTGCTTATTCATCCTGATACTCCACCTCCAAAGTAAAAAGTGTTCATTAAAAGAAAAAGAAGACAATGACAAAGATGACAAAACATTAATGGGCCAAAGGCCCATTCTGCATACTAGTGGTGCTGTTTGGGGCAGATGACCTTTCTTTTGTCAGTACTGCTTCCCAGGGCCACTGGAGAGAGTGTTAGATTTATCTTTCCAAAACACTGTGTTATTTTCTTTAAGGTTGTGTTGGTGTAGTTCGTTGTTTTTACTGTGGGCTTGGAGAATTTTTGATCCTTGCTTTCTGGTAACTTCCTTCACTGTGCTTCATGCTCTAGGTGGATTTCTAGTAAGCAGTTTCTCAGTTTTGTGGCTTCCCAACATCCTGTGTTTATATAAGGGGTTTTAGATGCAAGCGTCATCTGCATTTTCTTTAACTTGGGGTTTATTCTCCCATATCTTTCCTCTGATAACACGTAAAAGAACTTGAGCATTTTGCTGTCTTATTGAAACAAGAGGTTAACATGCCTATAATTTCGTGTAATTTTTTCACTAAACGTTGAGAAGATTGAGAAGTGAGCTTAATCTGGTGTATAACTATTAGAATCTTCTGATAAGCTGGATCAAAAGTCTGCCTAGTGTTTTTAATTGCAAATCACTGAAAAATAGGTGTACATGTATACGTTTCCTGTTGAGAGCTTTAAGTTGCAGAAGACAGATTTGTATCTCAAATGCATTTGCTTTACTCTATGCTAATGTTTTCTTCAACGTTTAAAACTTTTCCAGGATTTTGGAAGCTGCAAGATGTTCACATCTTACAGATGCTGGTTTTACCCTTTTAGCACGGGTAAGGGTCACTTCAGAAGGTTAGAGCTTGCCTTGTTTTCATTGCTGCAGAGCAATTGAATTGATTCTTCCCATTGCTGCTGGGAAGAAATATGAGGTGGAGAAAAATAAAGTAGAAAGAACCCAGCGGAGGAGGGGACTAAAAAGTGATTTTATTTCTGAATTATACTTAGAGCTGCAATTTGATCTATTTTCGTAGAATCATAGAATAATTTTGCCATCTGTGATGGCATTTTTCACTTTTTTGTATGTTTCAGTGGAATTTATTATGCTTATCATAATTCTAAACTTGTGTTACGTATTCGAGCTAAATTTCCCTTATAAAGATAACACATACCCTGGTGATATTTACACCGCAAGAGTCACTGTATAGTAGATTATTTTAAGCATACCTTTTTAAGTTACAAAAATACTTACATTATACACTGTAAACTGTAAGTACTTGTGCCCTGATTTGTTCTGTAAATATGTAAAGTAAGCATATTGATGATATCTAAATGCTTCAAGTTAGGCTTGTCTGCTTGCTGGTTTAAGACACTAAAATAATACTCAGTTAACAGGATTCATTTGCACTGCTGATGTTTAGTGTGAATGCAGGGGCTTTTTTCTAGCCACAGTGGTTAAACAGAGTGGTTTCTAACCATTCACCACTACAGCCTTGGGCTTTGGCCGTCAGCTCAAGCTCTGCCTTTGGGAGCTGCAAGTTAAACCATTTCTTACTATGCCTGTAAAAAATGGGTTGGGGTTTGGGCTGAGCCACGGCACCACGTGGTCTGCTGCAAGGTCACAGGGTTACATTATTGTCTTGAAGTGAGTTATGGTCAGGTACTGAAAGCACTTTTACAAGAGCTTGCTGGGGTTCTCTCAGTGTGTTGGGGACATTGCTTGTACAGATGTGAAGTGCAGCTTTCTCTCAGCCTTAAAGTGGACCATATTTGAGTATTTTCAGCACTCATTAGCAAAGCACGTCATTGTTTTAATGCTTCTTTATAATGTATGATGGTGAAGGGAGATGTTCCGTGGGTGTGTGTTTGGGATGAGTTTGATGTAGGTTGGTGCATGCATCTGTATGCAGGTTAGTTATCTTTAGTGCACAGGTTGTAATTGAATTGAAGTTGATTTGAACAGGTTTGAATTGAAGTTGATCCAAAAGGGAGGCAGGGGTGAGTGAGTACTGGTACATACTGCTCAAACCTTGCAGAGCAAGGAGACGTTTCACTTAGCAAGAGAAAGGCTGAAATGTAGAGGTTTGAGAGGGAGGTGGTGTGTGGCTGGTGGATATTTAACGTTTCCCATCTTTTTTCCTTTGATGGTGATCAAATACTTGAAGGGATTTAGATCACAATTTCCTCTTGGAAGCTGTGCCATCTCCTGTCACTTCTCCTGTGCATGTTTTTATGTCTATATGTTGGTTTATTTCATCTTTTGTTTATCTGTTTTTTTGTTTATTTTAGAATTGCCATGAGCTGGAGAAGATGGACTTGGAAGAGTGTGTTTTGGTGAGCTTTAACATGAAAAGGAATATTGAACCTCCAGTGTAAGAATGCAGTGCATTAGCACTTTCAGCTAGATATGCTTTGGATTTTATTAATACTGCTGTGCTTATGATAGTAAATAAAAATAATTATTGGGAAATACTTGAAGAGTAACCGGTGATTGGGTGTTTTCCAGAAATAACAGAACCTTCATCTGGTAGAGAAAGAGACCTTATTTGAGGGTTGACTCTCCTGCTATCTGTTGCTTATGGTTGGTTGGTTTCTTTTATTTCTAGATAACTGACAGCACGTTGATACAACTTTCTATACACTGTCCTAAGCTACAAGCATTGGTAAGTTTAACTCTTTGTTTTTGAATTGTAATACACTCCCTGAAACTACACACATACACAACTCCTGTTTGCTCTGTATCTAGACGAAGTTCCTGATGTAGTACGATGCTGTGCAAAATATGTGTTTCATAAGTGTTCTAAAGAAGCAGGTTACTCCTAACGTATTTACATTGTGTGATTAAAAAATATTACCAAATCAGTGAGTAATAACCAGAAAGCTTACATTTTTGTGGTTAACATCCTTCATATTTGATTACTTATAGTACTCAGATCCTTTATAGATACCCTTGAAGTGTTCACTGATGGTTTTATTAGAGAGTATCACTTCGCATTAAATACTGAATAAGCAAAACCACCCAGTGAAGATAAATGTAATCTGTGTGATCGCTCTGTCATCAGTCTTGCATGCAAGCAGTTTTTTCCCAAGGACTACATTTACGTAGAAAATAATGAGGTTTTTTTTGACCTAGACTTTTGATGCAATTGGAGAAGACTGAGATCCCTTCGGTGGGGTACCCTGCTTACTTCAGAGAACTGTTTCCTAGGGAGTGGTTGCTTAGATCTTTCAGAACATCAAAACCAATTTCAGGTGACATAAATTTGGCTGTTCTTCAGACAGGGTACTCCAAAATTACCAGGTTGTCCTTGCAATAGGAGCTCCTGTACTTAGGCCAGTTGTGCCATAAGGGTAGATTTTTTTATATACTACTACAGATTTACGTGAAAGAGCAAGTATCTTTATAATCTGTTCTTAAATAGGATTAAAGCAAGGTTTGCTGCTTCATTAATTAAACGGTGTTATAATTAGTGTTACTAAGGTAGCAACATGAGGAGAGATGGCTTTTAAAAAGGAGCTTGTTCACTATTTTCTATTTTTGTAGGGTTTTATTTTTGCTCATTAGTTGCCTGACCTCATTTCTGTACCATAATTCTTAACGTTAAGCCGAATGAGAGTTGTCAGGAAATGTGGAGCCATTTACATGGGACACTTTGTGTTCTTCTGCGATGTTTATGTTCTTGTGTTGTAATCGCAATTGTAAACTCTGTTTGCAAGAGATCCTTTGTACCCGTTGTGCCAGTGCTGCACCGGAGCTGTCATAAAACTTTATAATTTCCAAGTATTTTTCTGAACCCACTCTCATTTGCTGCCTCTGTGTGTGTGTTAGGCCATGGACAGCGAAGTGTGGTCCTGGTAAAATAACATACCTTTCCTAAGGCAACAGGAAAAAATGATTTTTTTGTTGATGTGGTTTTTACCCTGTGTGTAGGAAGGATACATACTCAAAGGTGCGAGTGAACAGTGGCAGCTGAGAAGTACATGGAAAGAGAAAACAGACTAGCAGGTGCCAAATTCCCTGCGTGAACTGGTGTTACGCTTCAGATCACATATTGTTGATGGTTCTGTTAAATCTTGACTAGCTGTGCTTTAGCATATGTTTAGGCACATTTACGGTTTAAACAAGTATTTTGCAGTTGTAGAAATCAACTTAGAATTTGGTGTTTGGAGACTCAGTAGACAGAAATAAGGAAGAGCACTGTTAGACCAATTATAACCACCTACTTAGGGTCATCAGTATCAGTACTCAAATGCTTTATTACTTACTGGACTTAAGATGTAATTTCTGTTGAAAGTGACTAATAATTGCACATTCAAATTACTGGAGAAACTGAAATACTCATTACCTGTGATGAGAAGTCAGTTGAATTCTTCAGTTAAGTTGGTCATATGTCACTCACAGTATGATAGATAGTTGATTTATACACAGCATTTAGTAAGGATTAATGAAAAAAAAAAAAAGAATTTGACCATATCTCTTTGGTTTGAATCCATATATTTCAAAACCTTTGAAATCTCTAAAGGTTTCTAGCAATTGTCTTTGTAAAATTCCACATTATTAACATTTTCTGATGCGCTTATGAAGTCAGAAAGGTCAGATAGATAACACGAAGTATGTATCCTTTGGTGTATTTGTTTTACAAAGTTCTACGAACTTGGCTGTACATCCTGTATTGTCCTTTCAGCACCAAACACAGTGTCTCAGGAAAGCTGATTTTATAAGCTGCTTACTTCCTGGATGGAAAACTCTTAATTAGCCAGCAGGCTGCTGCTGTAGCCAACAGCTCCGCAGCACCTCCTGTCCTTCCTTGAAACAGCAGGTCTATTATAAATGTTCTTTAACCCTGCAACTGCTGATTGTTTCCAGGCTGTGAGCCAAATCAAATGCTGAGAACACGCACATAAAGGAAGTAGGTGTAGGAGAGACCTGAAGTATTTGGAGAATTGATGGACTTGCAGAACGTGAACCAGGTGTAAGTTAGGGCACTAACTCTCTGGGAGACAGTATGCACTGGTTGTGGTGTTGCTTGGAGTCACTGCCAGCTGCTCACGCTTGACGAGTGGGTGACATTGGACCTGCTGGAGCTGCAGGGGAGCTGCCAGGGGGCTCCCCATCCGACTTGAGGATGTTGCAGTCCTGTCTCCCAGCCTCTTCTCTGGTTACTTGTTCATCCTGTTGAGTGAAGGAATTAAAAAAGCTGAGGGGAATTTGTTCTGAAGGACAGGGCAGGACCAACCTGTGTGTGGTAGCAGGCAAGAAACGCTCGTGACTTTAGTTGAGGTAAAATAAGGGTAAGATTGGTAATGCTCAGGCTTCCTTGTCAGGCTGAAATAAAAGAAGATAGATGTGTTGTACTGAGAGAAGGGAAGGTTTACATGTTTCATTCAGATGCTTAGGAGGAGGTACTTTTGAACACTGCTGTTTGCTTGCTCTGTGTTAAAAAGTGCTTTTGGATTGCTGCCAGTGTTTCTTCATCAGCTGCTGTCTGAAAAAAAACTGGTGGCAAGGCAGGAGCCAGCCCCTGTTAGGCTTGGGTACAAGTACGGGCTGAGCACAAAGCAAGGAGCTAGCGCAGAGCCCAGGGCAAGAGGAGTAGAGCTCATAGATCCTGCATGTTCCTAGTGCAGAAGACTTGAGAGCATTCATTTCACTGGTGGCAGAGAGCGCTTGTTAAGCTGCCTCTGGTTTCCATTGTTGTCATCATCGGACTTCTCCAAAAGTCATGAATTCCCTGAAGGAACCAGGAAAGTGCTTTATGTGGTGCTGCTGCCCGAGATGCTGCAGCTTTTCCCATGCTCTTGAAATTCAAGGGAGTAAAAAAACATGCTGAAAAGGAGCAGAACTTTTTGGTTTATTATGCTGACAGCTGCAAAAAGGCCTTGCTTCTGCAGCTGTACAAGATGTTTATTACTCCTTGTACGTAGAGCCTGAGGCACCAAGTGCTCATGTGTTTCTGAAATCACTGTTTGGCAGATCAGTCCAGTCTGACTGTTCTTTATCTCCACGGACTTGCACAGGCTTAGTCCAGGTGATTGATAGGTATGAAAAGGTGGTAGCTTGTGAAGCACTAACTCCTGTCAGCAGATCCTCATCTACTCCTGCATGTCCTTGAGCAGCTCTTTAAAGCCGTCTCCTGTTTTCTGGCACAGCACGTGTACTATTTGTACCCTTTGGTAGCAGAGGTGCCTGACGGACCAGAATTCCCCCATTCACATAGAACAAAGGGGCCTGAGTGACGTGTTCTGGGGCTCTGCTCATTTTGAAGCCAAGTTAAATACAAAGCACAGCCCTTTGGTGGAGCAGGGCTGTTTCTTTATTGCTGTTCCGGATTTCAGCTCTGTACGATTTGGAACTGTTTAACCCCTAGAATGAAATAGGTTGAAGAGTTCTGATGTTTGGAGGACAGAGTAACTTGGGATGGAGCAATGTGTTAACTGTTTGCCTCTCTCTCTTTTAGAGCTTATCTCACTGTGAATTGATCACTGATGATGGGATTCTGCATCTGAGCAACAGTACTTGTGGTCATGAGAGGCTGCAGGTTCTGGAGCTTGATAACTGTCTCCTCATCACTGATGTGACTCTGGAGCACCTGGAGAACTGCCACAACTTGGAGAGAATTGAGCTGTATGACTGCCAGCAAGTGACACGAGCTGGAATCAAGCGGATCAGAGTACGTGTTCACTGACTTTTGCCGGTAGGAATGAGCTGCTGATGCTGCTTGAGGTTGTGTGAATCCTGCGCATGTCCCAGGCAAGGGAGGATGGACTGAGTCTGAATATTGTTCTGTTAGTTTCTCACCTCTAGGAACTAGATGGAGCTTTTCTATATGAGTAGTAATAATTGCCTGACTCTGTCTGGCACTCGTGACACTTGGCTGTTGGAATGATGAGTGCTTTATCTTCTGCTTTCTGCATTATTATTTCAGAGACAGGCTTCTATGTTTTCTAGATTGTGTAGTTGCATTCTTTAATTCCTAACATATAGGTTAATATGTAGTGCCAATAGCAAAACGTCTGCACGGAGATGAAGGGACTGTAGGGCTGTTATGCCCTGAAGCCGAGCCACAAACCTTTCCTCCATGTACCTGCCCCAGTGGAGCAGTGGTTTAAGCCATACTGTTTGTTATACTTGTCTGCAGCTTCATCTCCCAGATTCCTGTCCAAACGCCTTTGCAATTGGAAAGCCTATCCCCAACACTGACTACTGAGGGCATATGCCCAATTCTATTGCATGCTGCTCTCTAGTATGAGAGAAGCAGGGAGACAGGATAAAGAGAAGTCCATCTTCAGTAGCCAGTGTCCCCCTCTCCCCTGCAGCAGAACACGTCTGGCCTGACAGAGCTCTCTGAGCTGAGCCGTGCTTTGTTGGGAAGGAAGTGGGAACACTACACAGGAGAGTGCCCAGTCATTAGTGTGCCTCAGCTGGATGGGACAGGAGAATTACAACAGCTTGGACAGTACCAGATGTACAGGTGTTTCCTTTTTAGTTAACCAACCTGACTGAGAGCCCACGTGTTGGCAGAAGTTGAGGTGTGCTGCTGCTTTTCACTAGTGGTGTTTCTTTATCTCCCATTGTAATGCAGACTTTTCACCCGCAGGCTCATCTACCTCATGTGAAAGTTCATGCTTACTTTGCCCCAGTAACTCCCCCGCCATCAGTAGGAGGGAGCGGACAGCGCCTCTGCAGATGCTGTATTATTCTCTGACAGTAAGTGCAAGCACACAGAAAATTTCATTGTTGATGGTGTTGAAGAGAACGGGACTGCAAGGCAGCGGAAGGAGTTGGTTTCCTGACAGTCCTAACGATGGTGTTTGTGACAAGAAAAGCGTTGTTTTTCCAGGTAAAAAATCTTACCATAATGTGCAGCTGTGGATTAAGTTGGTGATGCTTCAGTTTGTATTAGCAACTCCTTCCTTCTGTTGGCATGAGAACTGAAGTACTGTGTAAAACGTGTGGGCCTTTCAGTGTAGCAGTTACTTGGTGGAAGTTCACTAAACTTGGAAGTTTATTTGCATTTGTAAGCACTGCTCAGTGTGAAGTTGTAACCTGACGTGGGGCTCAAGCCCGTCACACCACAGAACCGAACCTGCTGTTCTGTAACATACGTGACAGTTTAAACACCAGGTTTAAAGACAAATCAGCTTTAGCAGATGTCGACCAAAAAATGCAAGGTAATCATGAGCTCTTGCAGCCAAGCAGCTTATACTTTTTCATGAGTCAGCTTTGTATTTAATTACACAAGGGGACACAACAGGTAAGGTAGTAGGTACCTCGAGGTAACTGTATAGAGATACTTCCCAAGTTTTTGAGCTTGGTTCAGTTAAGCTGGTGTAACGCTTGCCTGTCACTGAAGCATGTTTTATGCCCAATGCCATCGGCCTTTACAAGGCATGAGGAACCCGCTGTGGCAGAGCTGTGACCGGCTGTTGCAGCCGCATGGTGCTTCCTGCAACACTGTTCCTGCTGTCCTCAGTTACCTCCTTGGGCTGTAAGGGAAAGATGATGCTGTTCTAAAAGAGGGTACTTATGCTTTGCTACAGATGAAGAATGGAAACCATGATGGAAGTGAGGAATTCCAGCTGTTTGTCACACCTGCTCTCAGGACACAGCAAGCAGATGGGCAGATTAAGCTGTAGGCAGGAGTTGAACCAAACCTTTGGTTTTCAAATGTAGAAAGCCAGACATTTCACATTTGGGTTACTTGAGAAGCTGTCAACTTCTGAATTATAAGAATAGTAACATCTATGTATTGACTCTTAAGGCCATGCTTTCATCCTTAGTTCTTCAGTGCTACAGGATTAGATAAACTTTTTTATCTTAAGCAACTTAATTATCTGAGAAACTACTCAACAGTTCAGGAAGTTTTTTTGTGCAAGAGTGATTGTGTGTGTGTGTCTGTATGTTTTAAGAGTTCAGGGCCTGTGTGTTTACTGAAAATTAATAGAAGTACTGGCGTAAAAAGCAGTTGGAGAAGCTACTTCTGGGTAGTACTGCAATTCCCCCCACAAATTTAAATCTACTTTTTAAAAGAAGTGTGAATGTGTTACAGGTAAGGACAGTAACTGGAGGCCTCAGCTTTGAGGTTAAGTCACAGGTTAGAGTGCAGCAGTGCATGGATTACTACTTTAAACTAAGGTGGTCAGGACCTGTTTTACACAGCAGTGGTGGAGTGTTGTTACCATCATGCTTCAAGTTCCATTAGGATCATCCTGCTGTAATAGAGAGTTTTAAGCAGATTTTATTCTCAACTGTACCATGAAGGTCACCAGTACCAGTATGTCAAGTTGTATTGCCCTTTGTTGGCTCATTTTTTTTCTAAGAATATAATGACCCTTGTAAGTCTATTGCATTAAAGGTGTACAAACCCAAATAGAACCTACTCTAAGACAAATAAACAATCAGCTGATGTAAAATTTTGATTTGTTTCATCATTCAAACTTAACTCAGTTTTGTATTAGAAACAGATCAACGTGTGTGTGTCAGGTGCAGGATAACCTACTGAGCTGGCTGGCTTCTGTGAGTACCTTTACCCACTGTTACCACTATGGCAGGTCTTGCAGTTAATCTGAATCTGAACACCTGAAGTATCTCTGCTCTGTGTGTGTGGAAGTAAACAAAAAGAAAAGCACATTTACAAAATTATTGAAAAACATTTATTATACTTAAATTGAAATGTGTACATCTTATTAAAAAACAAAAGCAATTTGCTGGTGCCATAATTTAATTCCAATTTGAAGTGAGCTGGACAAACTACTGTACAACTTTCAGTATTCTTTAAAATTAGATACTTGGATACTTTCCAATCAAGGATTTTTCCACTTTTATAAAACATTTGGATTTGAACAGGGTGTGAGCTGAAAAGACACAAGTGTCAGTTCAAGAAAATGCTAGGACCAAACAATAGCCAAAGATGAACAACTTATCGGAAGAAACGCTTAAGTACGTAGAATTTTACTTTCAGTGCAGAAAAAATAAAAACAGGAGAAACCAAACCCCTCTAGCTTTGATGAATGTAAATGTCCAGAACGCTACAGCTTTAGGAAGCTTTTCTGCTAAAGCTCTTGAGCCAGTGACAGAAGAGGGAATGAGAAAAACCAAAGTTGCTTTTTTACACGCTGTGGCAGTTGTTCACACTGAACGCTGCAGCATAAAAAGCAAAACTGTTCCCGAGCATTTAAGCCAGAGATCATGATGGAGCTTTCCAGAGGCACAAAATGACAGCAACACAATGTCACTCAGTCCCTTTGGAAAAGTTCCCCTCCAAGTACCAAACCAGTTGCAACTGAATGTTAGCTTGGGAAGCGCTGCGCCTTGTCTTTACAAGAGAGAGAGCCAAAATACTGAGAAAGCACAATTCCTGGCTGAAAGAAAAGTAAGTATTTGGTCGTATGGCAGAGGCACTGTAATGTAACAGTGGCTCAGCGCGGCTCCCCGGGCAACAGAACAGGTAAGACACTACTTGTCCGTAACAGCCACTACAGCAAGGCCTTTCCCTGCTGGGGAGGAGACTTACATGGAGTAGGTTTAATATTTCTGAAGCGGCGTATTTGATGCTGCTGAAAGCTGCGCCAGCCCCACGGTGCCTGTGGCTCCTCTTCCCTCATCAGCACAATTCCAGTAAGTCAGAAAAGTCCACCTCTCGCAGCCAGTATCTTAAACCCCACAATTTTACAAGCGAAGAGTTAAACCGCAGCAGTGCTCTGCAGGGAACCTAAGAAACTAAACATAAAGGATGCATAGGCAATTCTTTTCCATTAAATCTGTTAAAGCAAAACACAATTACTTGGTACCTCATAGGATTTATATTAATCCCTCCAATAAGGTACTACTGATAATGCAGTTTGCTGCATGCATATATTGCATCTGTCTAGGGCTTCTTAAAAGCCCTCTTCTGGCATTTACACTTCTTACATACACTCTTATACACAATTTACACGGGAAGCTGTTTTGACAGCTTCACTCTCAAAGACCCAACAACCTGATCACTAACAGCTTAACTACTCATCTCCACACAGATTAATATGTGCTCTGCTAACATCAAAAAATAAAACCAGCGTAAGGTACAAGCACGTAATAGACAAACTGGCACAGAAAGGTAAATGCCCCAAAATAAGTTTACATTCATCTCCAACTGGATACAGATAATAGAAAACACTTCTAAAAACTGTATCTACTGGCCATAATTTGCCTTATTTCAGTGAAGGGCAAGCACCTTTGCTTACATTGTCTTCCATGCCTGTACGAAGCTGTCATGTCATTATACCTCTCATGAGGACACTTAGCTATGGCAGTGATAAGAAAGTTCACCTATCAAACAGCTCATTAGAAAGGTCATTTTGTGTTTTCAATATGAAACATCTTATACAGTGAAGTTAGTTAGATCCTAAGGTTTTGGATGATCTTTGTAATCTTTAGGCAGGACTTCATTCTGCACTGGAGTATCAGTCTAGCAGTCATGTGACATCACTTCAGAATTATATGGAAGCCTTCACCATTTTCAGCTGGAAAAGAAAAAAGTACTAGTTGTTAGAATCATAAATAGAATAACCATAAATATACCAGCCAATGCCCCAAAACAGCAAAGTATGGGCTTGGGTTTTACTGTGTAGAAGTGGTTCACTTCAGTGTAGTAGTATTTCATTCCTACTATGAAACAGTAAAGTCAAAACATGCCCAGTACCAGTAACTCGCTATTCACACTAAGCACGTGAAGAATTAACTTCTTAAACATCCCTCTGGTCTGCAGTTATTCCTGAACACTTCCTACCACACATTAAACCCACCTCACCTGACTGTGACACTTCTTTTAATATTACAGAATGCAGTTAGTTAACTACTGCAAGAGCAATAGAAATCCTTAGTGTGTGCTTTCAATCATCTATTTTGTGATGCTCAACCTTAACCTAGAAAGCCAAGGGGAAACTGTTAAAAACAAAAGCCCCTTTGGATTTATGGTTAGAAGAATCAAGCAGTACCACCAAAAAGCTTCACAACTGAGACAAATGGGTCTGTAGCACTCACTGGACAGCTTTTATACTACACAAAACTATACACAACGATTTTTCAGTTTTGGAATTTCAAGTCAGGAAGCTGACGGAGTGAAGCTTTAAACAGAGCTCTTTAAACAGAACTTTAAACAGAGCTCATCTACAGGAGAAAACACAGCTGCAGAAATTTTCTTCCGGCTGAACAAAAATGTTCTGATTAATAATTTGTAATTGGGTCTTCAAAGCTGGGACAGTTTCTGTAGGTGAAACTTGCACAGAGCCAAACCCATCCAGAGATTACAGCAATTTACTGACACCTTTTCCCAGACCTACACTGGGCACCTCAGGAAGGGTGGATCCACCTGAAGCCCCAGGGTTTAACGGGAAACCCGAACGGCCGAAGTTGGCTGCACGTGCAATGAAAACGATTCCACCCCTCTGGCCACATGGGGGGTTCTGCCATTTCTGCTGTAAGCAGATCTTGATGTTTCTGCGCATCAGCCAGATCTGTATCTGCCCCTACTCTGCCCGGGGAGTTTCCTGGGCCAGCATTCTGCTCTGAAGGCAGCTCCTTGACAGAATACACAGTTAGGTTTCAGACTGTCAGCAAAGCCACTGTACCTTTTATTGTGGTGAACAGGAAACAACTCTCATCTTGAAAGTTTTGAACCATCTACAGAAAAAAACGTTTTAAAAACCTGAGTACGACCAATACCAAACATATACATCAGATATTAAATACAGCCTCTTGTAAGCACTGGGTATTTCTGGTTTTAGTTGGCAAGTGACAAGCACATAACAAATTAAGTTAAAATATGTTACTGTCAAAATACTGCCCATCAATCATGTGACAACCAGTCTGGAGCCTACGACTGCTGGCTGCGTCTCGAAGCTCTAAATGTGTCGCAGATGCATAAGCCGAGTGCAACAGTACTGAAAGGCTCCCTGTTCAAAACAAATACATTCTAAGTAATTACTGCAGCATCTCAGAACTACACAGACCATTTGCCTTTCTCTTCTTGTAAGTGAAATTAATTTGGGTAGAGGAAGAATGACATTTAAAGGATCCTTCTGCTTATTGTAATGTAAAGGAAAAATACTCTCAAAATACCAGAAAATACTAGGTTGCATTATCAACCAGAATAAAGCAGTAATAAAGAAGCAAGCATAAGAAAAACCACCATCCAATCTCATTCATAAATAAAATGTCAAGAAAGTGTAATTTCCATTACCTGATCATTAACAAGAATGTGGATACCTGTGGGACCCTGTCTGTAAACCTGGTTGATCTGATGCAAAGGAATATTGAATGCCAAAGCAAGCTTGCGTGTGACTTCTGAGGCTGCCATTTCTTCCAAGTAGATTGCATGATAAACTGCAAGAAAGAAGAAGTATTTACATAAGCGTGGTACTAACTGGTAACAAGTCGCTCTGTGGAACAGTGGTGTGAATTTGTTCACAGCCTAGCATTCAAACGTTTCAGAAGCTAAAACCCTTCACTTCATTCTCACTCTGTTCTCGCCAAGAAGCATGAACTGCCATGACCTGGCTGTCAAGGTAAAGCCATAAGCACAACTTTCTGGCACGGGGGAGGCTTCCGTTTGCTCTAGTACCAAAGGCAGATTCCACATTTTTCCTGACTCCTCCACAGAAAGGCGCAGTCACGTCAGCCACGCTCAGGTGGGGCTTCAGGGCGTCACCTGAAGGTGACTCTGAACCACCGCCACACAGCCGGTGGTACATCCGACCCGCACCCTTGTTCAGAGCATCAGCGTGGTGGTTCTGGTTGGTCTGCTGGCAGAGAGCCTTTCTCAGCTGCCTGAATACACTTCCTACAGACCGCCTCAGAGCTGAGGGCGGCGGCGGGAAAATACAACACAGCAAAGGGAACAGTAACACAAAGCAGCCGGTCAGTTTGACACTGCATTTACAGTTCCACAGCTGTATTTAACAGTGCTAGAAGCCCTTGGCAGCTCCATGTTTGCACATTCTTCCACCCCAAACCAAAGACTGAAGATGGGAAACATTTTCCAGAGGGAATATACATGTATTTGACAGAAACAGTACCCTCTATGGATCCTCCTCCACCGCAGTTCTTGCATGGAAAATACACCACTACTATTATGGCAGCAGCCTGTACAGATTCCAGCTGGTTGGGGAGCGATGGCTCTTCACTCAGAGCCAAGAGCAAGAAAAGAATGATTTCAAATAACTCCATTCTCTTAAATGTTACAATTGACATGAATTTACCATTAAATATTATCTTCCAATCTGTGTTGAAACAACAGCCATTTATAATACTGAAATTGTCGTCCTGTACACTGCTTGGCTGCTTCTCCTTGTCCAAGCTCTACCAGTTTTAGTGCAGTTGCACAGAAAACAAAAGCAAAACGTAAGAGAAACTGGGAAAGAACTGAAGTGTTTTATTTGCATGTAGGTTTTACATGCACCTACGTTTGTCTGGTAACGCTTTGCCGGTAACAACGCAGCACAGCTAATTTGAGAACTCCTTCATTACCACGGAACTGCGGTTCTCAGAGGACTGAAAAACAATCAAAAATTTAAGCTTGAGAGGTTTTAAGGTTCTGTTCACCCCCCGGAGCGTTCGAACAGCGACGCTGTTGTGAATACACCCCCCTACGTTTCCTGTGTGTGCCAGGAACGGGAATTCAGCCTCTCCACTAGTATTCTTATTTTTTTTTCTTCCCATTTCTCTTGGCTTAGGCATTTTAAGACACACCAGTGGTGCTAAGGGACCCCAATGTGCCATACCATATATTGCACTGTTGCTGCTATCACCGTTGCCTGCATCTTGTCTTTCCAGTTGTAGGCTCCTCAGTGGCTCCTGACAAACGTAGATTGTTAGACGGGGCCTAACAGACCTGCAGTTGGAAGAAACCACATGTCAGAGGGAAGGTTACTCGCCCTGAAATACAGGAAGTGCTGAGCCACGAAGGTGGATTTCTTGTGCTGATGGTTCACTTGAAGGGGTTTAACTCATCAAAAAAAAACATTAAAGAATGCAACAGCAAGTGGTCCCTGGATGCTGCTGCTGCTGCTGCTTGTAATCCTGGAACATAACTACCGAGTAACAACAGCAACTCTTGCAAAGGTCAGTGGTAACAAACACCCTTTTCAGCATCAGAAACATCAGAAAGCCTCAGGTCGTCGTGAGCCCCACTGAACGTGAAGTTCTGTGTTCTGGCAACAAACTGACCTGCTTCCAAGAAACGGGCAGCGCCCGGCTGCATGGTACCAGCTTCACAGACTGCCCCGGAGCTCCCCAGAGCCTGCATCCCACCAGGGGTCTGCCCCAGAGGGGGATATGGGAGCTCTCTTTACACTAACTGCTGCCAGTTCCTCAGACACACGCAGGCGTCGAGGCCCATCCTGATTCTAGCTTCCCAGATCTCCCAGTGCTAGTGAATGACAGAACAAAACCCACTCAGCCTCACACCCGCGGTCACACCTGGATTTCAGTGCATTATATAGCCGAATTCCATCAGCTGGACCACAGATTTGTACCAGATCTTCTCTTGTCAGCTTTAATAAATCAGCACCTGGAGAAACACAGGAGGATTTTATGACGATTTTGTCAGAACATCTGTGCTTTTTCAAATCAGCTGTATGTTCACTTAAACCACGAATAACAAACTCCTCCATCATAAAAACAGAATCCTGCAAAACAAACAAGCTTCCCTTGAACCAACAGCATCTTCCAGCTCATTAAGACTGATGCGCTGAGGCTCCCTGGTCAAAAAGTGAGATGATGGGTTTATATGAAACACATGAAATGGGCTTAATGGAAAAGAGCATATTTTGTTGTCAACCCTTTGCAGTGTCAGGAACTGACCAAAGTTGTCATACTGCCTGTGCACAGGAAAACATCGTGGACCCCTGGGGTCTCAACATGTTAGTTATTTGTATTCTATTACTACATTATTACTAGCAGTAGTTTACAAAATTTAGTCATTGCTGCCCACGATGTCACCAGAACTACACACACATTTTTATCAACACCATCTTCCCATTCTGTTTGCTGAGGAAGGTACTGCGAAATACTGGCTCATCTGCAGAACTTCCCTTCTCAGGGCTGGATGACACCTTCACAGCTTGCTCAGAAAGGCTAAATGTGAGCCTATTTCTCAGGACTTGTATATCCCAGCAGAAAACAATATGTATTTTAGGCAGAAAACATTAACCAGCTACAGAAAACATAAAGGTTTGAGTTCAGGAACAGCTCATTAGAGAGTCTGTACTCTTGGGCAACTGCAGTCCTCATGAGATCAAATGAAAGAAATGGCCTGTGACCAGGGAAGGTGCCTGGTGCAAAGGGAATTCTGGCAGGAGCATGAGCTAAGCTAAGAGGCAGAGAGAGGGCCTCGTTCATCGTATGTATTTACTGTGAGGGTGCTGAGGCGCTGGCACAGGGTGCCCAGAGGAGCTGTGGCTGCCCCATCCCTGGCAGTGTTCAAGGCCAGGTTGGACACAGGGGCTTGGAGCAACCTGCTCTAGTGGAAGGTGTCCCTGCCCGTGGCAGGGGTTGGAGCTGGAGGAGCTTTAAGGTCCCTTCCAACACAAACCAGTCTCGGATTCTGTGATATTCTCCCCTTCACACGTCACCAGAAAAAACCGAGAAGGAATTTTTCTCATGGTGTGTAACTGTGTCATCCCACCCTTTGCACACCTACATGGAAGACTAAAAACAAACAGCAAAACATAGCGCCAGATAATGCATCTTTCACCACTGCTCGCTTCCATAGGTACAGTGGGAACTACACTGACACATGTCACATTTAAGAATAACCAGACATTCTGCCGTAATGAAAAACATTCATAAAAATATGAATATTCAAATAATAGTCATAAACATGAATATTCATTAGACAAACGCACACGGGTAAAGACTTCTCCTGCTGCATGGCACTGAAGCAGAGTTCCACACAGAACAGGACCTGCTGTTTCTACGGATAAGACAGCTTCGGAGGAAGCCTCACGCAGCCCAGGGAAGTCAGCTCCTTGCGTGTTCTGGGAGAGCAGCGCACGCTGCTGCCGCCAGGAGCCAGCCCGGCCGAACGGGAGCGGCCGCCGGTCTGACGCGCCAGGCGCAGGCGCTTTTCCCAAAGGACTCATCAAGGTCACAGCGATACCGAGAACTGTGCTCATGCAAACAGCACCCAGCTGCGCCCGGGGCTCAGGGCCAGCGCCCAGGAAGGAAATGCCTTTTAATGCAAACCGAACATTTAACAGTAGAGATACCTGAGAAGTTTGAAAAAAGCCTCGTGTAGGTGGAGAACCGATGTTTGAGCAGCCACTGCTGAGTTTCCTGGATTGTGGCCGAGGGATGAAGCTGCTGTAAGAAACACGACTGGAGATGATGATTCGGATATTAATCGAACATTAAGAACATCCCCCCAGTTAAACATCTCCACATTACTGCAACATCAGGGTATGAATAAACCAAATGTTCTGACACAACTATACAAACAGAGCCATGAGCAATACCAGAAAACAAACACTCACATCTCCAGAGCCTTGAGAGCTTCCATCTCCTTGATGATTCGGGGAAGAAGAATTGCTAGAGATTGGGGGGGGGGAATAATAAAAGAATTACTAGAATTTTATTAAGCAAAATATTTTAGCATTGCTGAAAATTAACTTGAATGAGTTCGAAGTACACAGACCAGACAATACCGCTGTAAATCATTCCCTGATCACCCAAGTTTGATGATGGTAGTTTAAATAATGTCTCAATTAAGAATGCTTTTACCAGTACAATTGCTGTTGAAAAGCGTGTGAAGATTATTGTTGGCTTTTCTTCTTGCAAACTATATTAACTGTGTATGAGGGGAGTGAAGACTCTTCTTGCTGGAAAAAGCTGTATAGTTTCCATAGGCAAGGACTAAATCAGAATAGTTCAGAGGTAAAGTATTTGCTACGTAACAAAGGACAAGATGAACAGTTTTCAACAGCATATAGGAAGGAAGAAGAAAGTTGAAGCAGAAGTAATCACTCCATGTAATGTCGAACTCTAAAATACATACTGGAAGTCAAAACAATCTCACATTTCCCAGTGGAACCAGAAAACAGTTGCATTTATTCAGAAAACACCTTTGACTCACCATGATTTTAAAATGTAAACCTTAATTAGGGTACACAAAAGAAACCTACCTGTCTGGGACACTGTAGGTATTATGTTGAGCAGAGGTAAAAGTTGGAGCAGGAGTAGGACTGTTGTTTACAAACGTTGTAGGAGTATCAGGCCACGGTGAGCACTGAAGATAAAGAATGAAAGCTTAAGTTTCTCTTGGCAAAGCAGAGCCTGTTCTACTCTGATGCACACTTCTTTAAATGAAAGCCAGGGGTTTATCCAGAGAATTCTGATTTGTCATTCCAGATAGAGACTCCCCCATCCCATGCATAACATGCAGATACTCCAGGTAAAAATCACTTCTGGTTTATCTTGTTCTTTCATGAAGACTCCTACTTACACTGTCTTCTGTTAACCAAGTGAAGGTATTAATGGTGGAACTGACAGAAGGCTGATCCAGATTAGTCAATTTAAAACAAACCAACCTACCCCAAGCTGTCTGCCCAAAAACCTTTTTCATCCTAAAAGGGGTGAAGGGGCTGATTAAACTGCAGGTATCATGTCCTGACAATAGGTGTTCAGCAACAGTAAGTGAAACTATGAAGCTAGATTTAACCTTGTGGATAAATCTAATGTATCTGTCCAGGTGAAAGACAAACAGAATATTCAGTCGAAATTGTGTCAATCTGAGAAACTGCAGGACTCAAATGATGCCTACATGTACTGCTCCTGAGGGCCCCTCAGCTGCTTGGTCAGCTGGAGATTTCAGACATACATACAAGCCACCACAAGTATACGCTGAGGCAGCTGTTTAATTCCATCAGGGTTTTCGGGGTATTTTTTTTTAAACCATGACGATTAAGCCCTGCAGAATGAGAGCAGCATTTGGTGTTTCCAGCACCACTGCAAACCCAGTGTTTCGAAGAAAAATAAAACCCAAACAGATTTTGGTTTGTTCAAAGACAAACAGGATTAAAACAAGCAAGTTGCCCAAGATCAAGTAAGTTAAGACCATGCCTCTTGAAGCAACAAAGATTTCTGATATCGTATCATGCACCAGCTAAACACCCCGTAAGGAAACTTCCAAGGTCATATCATGGTTTGGTGTAGGAGGAAGGGGACCCTTGGAAACACGGAAACATGTTTCAACAATTGTGTGTTGAAAGACTTTTCACTATCCAGGGGAAACAGTGAATAAGCACAACATCAGCTGCAACCTTCTGTAAACCAGTTCACAACATTTCTGTGCTGGCCTCCCGCTGTCAGAGCAGGGTTACGAGATCCCTAGCCTGGCACATACAGTTTACCACCACCAGCCTTGTACGCCCTGCAGGGCTTAAAGTCTGCCCCGGATTTCATTCAGGTCAGTGTTTTTGTGAGGCTCTGTGCACCCACTCTTTGATTACATGGTCAAAGCCACCCGTTACAGCACAAGGAGCGCAACCCTCACAAAGCACGCTCCTCTGTCACCCACTGGTGCTCCCCACTCTTCCTCCTGTTCTGTGTATTCCCACCTGTTGTTTCTCTTCCCAAGCTCATTTTAACGTTAATCTCAAAGACGTTGTGTTACACCAGGTAGTTAAAAGAGGCCTTCATTCCCTAATGCAGTCCAAAGCCATAATTTAAAAAGAAAAGCTCAACATGATGTAACTTTGCTCTTCTGACATATTTGGAAAGCATAATTTCTTCGGGGTTTTTTACATTCACTCCATAAATTTTAATGCAAGCTGCTTATCAGGACACACCGATGCAAGCTGCACCTCCTTAGCTGCAACTCCATTACGAGATTCCATTCAACACATTCAAAACCAGGGAGCGGGAAGAAAGCATTCGTGCCAGAGAACTGCTTTTGAGCCATTCCCAAGGCATGCACTGCAGTTAATGGTTCTGGCCTTCAAACCCACCTGAAGTTGTTCACAACAAAACTGAGTTTAGATGCGGGAAGAAGCATATTTGAAATATCTGGATAAAGAAAATCCCAACCCAAAGCAAGAAGCCTTTCTTCTGCTAGAAACACTTCTTACCTTCTGCTCTCTTCCAACAAAAATGTTACTACCTACCCACTGAGACTGAGTTAGTTGGTTAAAAAAGGAAAAAGGTAGTAATTATAATACTACCGCAACATGCCTAATTGTCTCGGTTCTCCTGCTTTACACATTGTTGAGGGGAAAAATGAGTATTTGAGCATTGAGATACTTAATTCTGCAAGGTTCAAGGAACAAGAAAGTCCAGCATTAAAAGAAAAAAGAGAGAAAAGAAAAGACAACACCATATGTTCTTCAAGTGTCTTCAAGCAAGTGAGCTTGAGCTGCTTATGCCTCTGGAATCACTCGCATGCACAACTGTCCTGCATTTCACAAACCCGCTGGGTTCAGAAACAGGGTCAGACAAATGTCTGGGCATCACATCCATTAACACTACAAAGATTCAGAAGGAAGTCTAACATCTTTCTAACACCTGCATGAAGTTTCTGGGCACTGGAGGGTTACAAGGGGAATGGATCATAGGCACAGCCTTCTGCAATTGCCACTGCCAGGAACAGACAACTGGACTTCAGAGACTCATGGTCTGATCAATCAGGATGTTTCTTATATTCTTAAGCACATCACTGAATTAACCAGAGGACATTCAGCAAGCTAATAATACTTATACAGAAGTCCCTGGCCACTGGCCATAAAGAGAAACATGTCACCCTGCCCAACAGAAGCATCCAACTCTGTAAAAAGCCACCACGGCAGAGAAGAAAGGTTGGTATTTTATCTTTACCTGTAATGAGCAATGAATATATACTGGTGAATTTCCAAAGCTGTTGGCTTTGGTGTCTCGACACTAGCTGCCCTCCATTACTAACTACTGCACTGATACAACTGTACCCCTAGAAACTGTGTCTTATTTCCAAACACTGATTAATTCTTGAAAAGGAGAAAACTGTTTTAGTTACAGATCTTTAACATCCTTCCGTAGAGGCCATGAATGAAGTTACAAAGTGTTGACCAATGGCTTCACTAAGTTAAAAAGGGAGATAGGAAATCTTTCCAGGTATGACCTTCAGATCCAGGATGTGCAGCGTTTAAACTCGGAATGTTCCTAACTTCTGAAAAATTGCAAAATCTCAACTTATTCTAAGCCACTGTTTGATGTCATTTCTCTTCCTGCTTCCCATCTACCTGAAACTACCCAAATTCATGCTTTACTATAGGGTAAAACAACTTCGGCAACAAACTCCATACTATATTTACATACCAAATAAACACAAAACCAAGATAATAGTAATTGGGCACACAGCATCATCTTTAGAGAACAAAGCAGCAATTTTATTACAGCTTTTTTATTGGATGTATAAAATATGAGGTTCTTGCCTGAAACAACTGCAGCTGCTGTGTGCAAAAGCAAAAACATCCTGCACATACTGACTTAATTGTTATGGATGCAGAAGTAGTCATTTCCAAAATGTGAAGCCAGCCACTCTGCATAAGCTGTATGCTACTGACATCTGCTATGTGGAGCACAGATGTAAGGAGAAACAAGTTGAAAAAATACTACATCCTTACGTTGCTAGTTTTGCTCCAGCTGCAGTTCCTAACTCTTAACCTCTAGAAGGTTTTAGACTCTAAATTTAAGTCACAGAAAAAAATTTAGCTTCTGCACCAACCTTCCATGTCCAAAACTTAATGTTCCAATCTGTTTCAAGGTCTATACCTCAAAGTCTTCTAACCTCCCTTCATGTGCCCTGTAATCAGTTCTACCTGAAAAAAATTACCACTTGACCAAGTTTAATCAAAAGATAGCTTTATATATGCTAGCTTGTGACATAATATAATGTAAAATAACATAATGTAATATGATAACTATCACAGATACAGTTAATATCCTACACTATGCTATAATATACATACTATACTATAATGTATTATATGATGCATTATTTAATACGCATAATATAAAAATCAACCAAGATACTGCAGACAGAAAGAAGTGTCTTTACAGACATCGTCTTAAAGACCCAACTACCACAATACAACGCCTGCTCTTTCAAATTCAGAGCAGGGGAAAGAATCTGGTTGGGTTTTTTTCCCCTCTTCTTCCTGAGATCAGCTCTAGCTTCTATACATTCAGAAGGGAAGAGTCTAGATGGAATTCTTATGAAAATGAATGAGAAGGAAAATACACGTGATGGTAACAGAAAAACAATCTCTGCTTTCTAGGAAAAGACAGGAGTACAGTAGAAAGAACAAACTCTTGTTTCACCAAACTCTTTGTATTGTGTTAGAATCCCATGCAAGTTAAATTGGAAAGAAAAGATATTAAATTCAATGTTTCTTAAAGGAAACACAGTAAGAAACCAACCTGTCCAAATCAGATTGTGGGTGAGCTCGAAGAAATCACACCGCGGTGGGGTGGGGGGAAGAAACAAAATGAAACAGAATGAGACACATCCAGCAAATAGAACAGCAGAATATTGGAGGGGCAAAATAAGAACACGTATGTACAAGATAAGATGCAAAAAGAAAGGAACAAAAAAGACAGCCTATATACAAGGCTAGGTGTAGGAGGAAGATAACAATACCCAGTTTTAAAAAGGAAGAGAACTACAGACTGCATCAACCTAAATTCTAAAACTCAAGAAAAGGTTACAGAGAAGTGTTTCTGGGCACCAAGGAAGCAGCACTGGGTACGTAACAGCACTGTTGACTTTGTCAAGAAGAATACACTCCAAACAACCCTGGTTTCCTTCTGTAAGGGAGCTATGGTTCCCCGGACTTGCCAAGTACAAGATGCCATCTTAGATAAAGACACAATATGCAAACCAGAGTCAATTCTCATCCTTAAATGAAGGGAAACAGGTCTTCAGTTTTTGCGTCTAAGCTCCTCTGTGACACCTGTACTAGCACATAGGGTACATCTAACCTGCACATGAGGTAACTCTGGTAACAGCCAAGCCTTCTGATGGCTACAACTGGGAAGAGAGAACTGCTCAAAGTAGGAACATGCATCATCCCCTGTCCATATTTACAAGGCCCACAAGAATCAGCCTGTCTGGTGACAAGAGAAAAAGACTTATGAGCTGGCCTTCAAGCTGGAGATCACACATTTTCTAGATCAAGCAAACAAGTCACACACTCAACTTACATAGTTGAAAACAGTACTTACTGAGTGTATAGAGATTATCAAGGTTTCACTATGAATACAGCAAAAAGTGTGTTTCATGGCATTTTTTATGGGCTTGGTGACTTCTAGTAATTTTGCTAATGATAAAAACCATTGTGATGACGGAACAGGTTGTGTGTTAAGTCTGCAGATGGTATCAAGTTAGCAAAGCTGAAAGCATTTCATCCTACAGGAATGGAAGTCAAAATGGTCTCAACAAACTGACCAACTGATCTCAAGACAGTGTTTTATTAAGGGCACATGTCCAGGCAGGAACAGTCCACTGCACAATTAAGAGAACTGGAAAGCTGTACATGCTTGTTATTCCAGAATAGTCTGTGGGTTACTCTTCATCCTAAGCAAGAAGTCGAGAAATAAACACACACACACATTCTGTCTTTGTGTGCTTTGAGAAAGGCAACAGAAGTCCAGCACTACCTGTCTTACCTCAATTTTTCTTTGCTACAATTAATGTAATGCTAAAGGAAGCTTAAGTGTTTCAAGAGATTGTTAAGAATAGGTTGGACGAGTTTCAGGTACCATTTGGCTGCGGTTCATCATTTGTCATATCTTTTAAAAATACCTTTTCCTATATTCTTCCTAGAAGTAACAATCACTGAATGAAGTACTTACAATAACAGAGAGAGGAGGAGGTGCGGGGGACGTACAAATCCCTCCAAAAACCAGCTTCAGAAGACACTTCAGACATGTCTTCTGAGTGAAAGTGATAAAATCCTGATTTCTCCTGTCTGTACCCCCCCTCCAAGGCCATCTGGAACAAGTGAAAGAATGTCTGCACTGCCAAAGAATTCTAAATGTACATCTTAAGAGAAAGAAAAGAAAGAGAAAAGAAAATAAAGAAAGAAAAGAAAAAGAAAAACCCCAACAACCAAGAATAGTAGAAAGTAAATGCAGACAGCTCAGTGGTAATAGCTTCAGGGTGTAGAACACCCCAAAATCCTCCAAAGAACCCATCTGACTTAATACTGCTTCTTCTCTCCCACCCAGTTACACGGTTTATAAACAAGAGGCATACACTGAAGTACTTTACAACCTAAACGTGAAAATAATGTCTGAGGGAAAAGAGTCAAGAAAGTCAATGCCTGCACACTGCTAGGAAAGAGCTGTCAGCACATTATCCCTGTTCAAAGAACAGGCAATTGTTTTCCACAGTCACAGTATTAACTGACATTCAAACTTGCCAAACGGATGATGCAGAATTGTTTCTCATCTGGAATGTAAGGTCTCAGTGATATTCACAGCGAGAAACACCATTTAAGAAATCCTGGAGTATGCAGGATGTATGTTAAGATTCAGTTGGGGAGCACATACAGGGTTAGTGTGCACGTATCATGAAGAGGTACTGACTCTTCTGAACTGCATTAAACCTGCTTAAAGCACAATATGTAGATGGCTGAAGAAAAAAAATCACTAACTAATGCTCTGCAGTGCTACATGGTGTTTTAACAATACTGACGTACATGGAAACTTACATTGAATCTAAGTACAGATATAGAACAAAACACTAAGTTTCACCATTCTTACTTCTACTAATTACACACATACAGTAAAGCAAAAAGCTGTTTCATTTAAAGTCACATAAACGGAAAGCTCTTGACTTAAAAGTTACACAGTCCCTCTGCAACAGTTAAGTGTTAGATTTAGGAAGGATTCCTTTGCTGAAAGCAAACATGGAGTAATTGGTATACACAAAAGTGAGTAATATTAATACACAGCAATCAATGTTTTCTCTTTACAAAATGGAAGTTTCTCCTATATCTAACACTGTACAAGGTATCTTGCACAATGAAAAGGTAAGCAGAAGTCCCTTACACTGCCTCGCTTTGCCAGAGAATCACCGTAGTCTGCTGGCAAAGTCCGCTTGCTGGACTTTTTCTGCTCATGTTCAACTGCATCTTCAATTATAGGCTCAAGCCTCATCTGGACAAACACCAAAGATTTGGATCAATTTCTTTTCATTATACAGTGAGGAAAGATCTAAAAGCCTTTTAGAAACTTCTGAAACCTTTAGAAAACTACATAGAACTCACTGATGTTTAAATAAAATGCAAAAACCTACTGAGGCTCTGGCCTTAAACTCAGTGATCTCCAAAAAAAGACTCTGAAGCTCAAATTTGGCAGATAATTAAACTCTAGATTCCCCCCTCTTTTTTTTCCCTCCAGCTGCAAGGTTTTTAGATCTGTACCAAAAGATTTGCTCTAGGGTTCAGTGCAGTCAGTGTTAAAACACACTAAGATTGAACACAAGCATCTATCTAGTATCTAAATGTAAGTTTACTAAACAAACTTAAAATGGAATGTTGCTGTTCACTGGACAAGTTTGTCAAAGAAAAAGCTTATCTTTGTATAGAACTAATTCTTCCCCAACCCTTCCAAGACTACAGCTAAGTAATATACCGTATATACGTATATTCTCCTCAGCCAGCAGATGCAATTCTAATCTGTTACCTCTGTGAGAACTGTGGTGTCATATGAAGGCTGATACTTTTCTTTTTCATGTGCAGTTCGCTTTTCCATCTTCTCTCTGTCTGTTTTCTGTTTCCTGTCTGCTCCTTTTGGCTAAAAATGAATAGTTACATGAACAAAAACACAAGTTGAAAATGGTTTTATAACTGAAATCTGATCTCAGAAGTAGTAAGATAAAGATATCCTCCATCTTTATGAGAGCTTCTGGGAGGCTTACTAAGGATATGTTTTCTGTTACCTTAAAAACTTTGATTTGACAGCTGGCTGAATGCAGATGATCTGTATATTCTCCGTTTTCAGTCTGTTTAAAAGTGTCAACCTGAATCCTAAAAGGAACTCCTTTCTCTCCTCCATGCTTACGAGGGGTAAATTCAGTGCTGATACAATGTACCTGAAAAAAAACAACCCACCAAACAAAAAAGACCCTCAGAAGTATTCCAGACATGGATTTGATTATGTGTTACCAACATCACATATATTTTCTAAGGACAAGAAACAAATTACCCAGCCTGAGGACCAAGCTGCAAAACTAACATTTTATTCCTTTTCATGCCCGTATTGAAATGAAGCCAAAAACATTGTACTAGAGTTGACAAGAGAGTAGAGAAACAAGGAGGTGTGTCACCAAAATCTCTCCAAAAAGCAGAAGTCATTACAGGTTTTTATTAAATAAGACCTTGCTGGATTGTAAGAAAAATGTATATAGAATCACAGAATGGTTTGGGTTGGAAAGGACATCCTGTTTCAATCCCCCTGCCATGGGCAGGGACACCTCACACTAGACCGTGTCACCCAAGGCTCTGTCCAACCTGGCCTTGAACACTGCCAGGGATGGAGCATTTACCACTTCTCTGGGCACCCTGTGCCAGCACTTCAGCACCCCCACAGGGAAGAGCTTCTTCCTTATATCTCACCTGAACTTCCCCTGTTTAACTCTGAACCCATTCCCAACAACTGTATCTATCGTGAATACAGCAAAAACTTTTCCAAGATACTATTGTCCAATGCATTATAGCTAGAATAAACTTGAGAGTTACTTATAATAACTACTGCCACACTGGGTTTATAAGCTAGAAATACCCCTAGAAGATATCTAAGGAGAAAATCAGTGCAACAGAAAGAGTTACGATGAATCTTACTGGACACTGCTCCCAATGTTTTGGGGATACTTGCTTCCTTATGGAATTTTAAGCAAGCCAATGCCACAATGCTTTTTATTTCCTTTGGCTATCAACAGTAGAGACCCACAGACTGGAAATTGAAGCTTTACATGTGTAATCAGTGCTGCTATGCTGGGCTCTCTAGCTTTCAGAGTAAGTGAGCTATACTTGTGTAACAATAATAACCAGATCCATTTCCTTCAGGCTGTTACTGCTTCTAAGGAAGCGCGTGAACAGAAATAGCCAGTAATTTCTCTCACATTTCTTCAAGGAGACTACATTTTAGTAATTATGTAATTCTTAGTAGAAAAAATGGCTTCATTGTACTAGATCAAAGTTAACGTGCTTGCAGTGTGGAATCTAACCTGTTTTAGAAGCCTCAGTAAGAAAAGCTGCTACCTCAAACTTCATACCTACACCTTTGTATTTTATAGTAAAAACAGATCTGAGACAAAAGTAAGCTAAAAATTCCAATGCAAAACTGAACATTCTATCTAAATAATTTGCAAAGGCAGCATGTTCAATTGCCCTGAATATCAAATACATAAATGACAAAAATCCTACCGCAAGGAAGCCTACTGACACAGTAAGAAACATCTTTTAAATGTCTGATTTAAAACTCTTTGTAGCACATTACTTTTCATTTTATATCCTCAAGCCTGAGCCTCTGCCGAAGCTCACAACCAGGAGAGTGGGAGACTCAACTAAAACAAAACCATTAGTGTTGACAGTTATTTCGACTGACATAAATTAATTCCAATACTCTGTATAACTAAATATTTGAACCTTGACAGCTTTATTCACAGAACTTTTTGAAAGCTTTTTACGTAAACTGTTTTTAAAAGATGCTTCTATAAACCCAAGTGAAGTTGAAAAACATAACTAGGGACCCTTACAGAACTATGAACCCATGTTCACTTACAAAGCTGGTATTTAATGACTATCCCACAAGTAAGAAACCAGGAAGCTTCATAGTGCAAATGTACTACTGTTTGTGACCTGAAAGGCACCAAACACAGACATCCAGTCAAGTAAAATTTCAAACCTGAATAAAAGCAGATGTACATTTTGTTGGATCCCACAAAAATTCAACTGCATTGAGCTGGCTTGGATTTGTCTTGATATCAATGACTCCGACAGACATTGGAATATCTATTAAAATAAGTAGTATATGTTTCAAAATAATCATATTCCAAGGAAACACTACAAATAAATTTTAATACAAGGTTACCGTCAGCAAACACAGGTAAGGGTGGAAAAATGTGGGCTTTGGTGGCCTGGCCTTCAGTCCAGAAGCAGTTTCTTACAACTGATCTGAAGAATCTTTGTAGACTCAACATACAAAGCGTTTAGGGTTTGGGGGTGTTTTTTTGATTCCCCTCCTCATCATCCCCACCCCCATACTCATCTTATGCACCAAAAATGAGCAAGTTACTCAAAACACAGAAACCATGTTGGTGCCATTTCCACAATCTAGTAGAGAAGTTACTTTTGATTGTGTTTGCCTAATTACTGTAACATTTAGCAATCAAAACTAGAAAGATTACTAAATGTGTAAGGCTGTAGTTGCTATCTTACTTCTGTAGCACTTAAAGGTGTTAAAGGAATATGAAAGTGGTGAGAACGTTTACATTCAAAATAAACACTATGCCAAAGCAGCATACAGAAAGCTGCTCTGTGTGTTCTCATAAGCCCTAGCATAAATGTGACCATGATCAATCTCAATCTGGAAACTGATTTTCATAAAGTGTCAACAGACAGAAAGAGTTATACCAGTTATACCTAAGTCGAGAAGTCTGTCCCCAGGGCGGTTCCACTTCCAACCTTCCAGCTGCTGGTGCTCTGTATATTGCAACCTTCGGTCATGGAACACAACTCTAATAATACTCTAACAAAGAAGAAAACAAATGATGAGCCACAAAGTTACTTTATGTTTAGAAACTGCCTGAAGATAAAGCATTAAAACATTGTGAAATAGCAACAGTGCCAAAAAAATCTATATTTACAGCAAAAAATTTGGTAACCATCAGTATCCCAAAATATTCCCGATCACAGAAACAGAACTGAGCAGCACAAGAGATCTGAAAATGTAGTAAAAATGCAAAGGAGAATTACGTATGATTGCACGTTCTGAAGGTCACTATGAATTACATCCAGTGAACTGAGCAACACTGACAGCACAATACCAACACTGTGCAGACAACACCAACTTCTTTTAGAAAACAAACACAGAAGACTTAATCTGTCCTGAAAAGCAGTGAATATAGTGTGACCTTTTCTTTTTCCACTCCCTTTCCTCGTATTTGTCAGCATATTTACTACAAATCTGTGATTTTCAGTACCAGTAAGAATAAACAACCTCACCACTTTTCCAACTATTCCAGCTGAAACATTAATCTAAAAATACTACTCAACTGATGCAGCTAGAAGCAATCAACCAACAATACCTATTTTGTGACCATCTCTGGTAAAGCTGTGCACTTAAGTCATATTCTGCTGCATGAATGCACATACAAAGCAATGTGTCATACAGAGGGGAAAAACACTGTACATATTAATTGCTACTGAACAAATCAAACAAATCTGTATCATTTTATTCCTAATTAGTCTATAGAATGGATCAAAGTGTCCAAAAAACCCAAAAACTTTTAAATGAAGCATCTCTTCAAGATACATTGCACCACCTTGGCTTTATTTCAAAGCTAACAGAAAGCACGTGTGCACGTGTGAGTACATGCACACACACGGAGCCCGCTCCTTTGTCATGGCAAACTGGCAACTTTGGAACATGGAAATACCTGCAACCATCCTTCACCAACATGGAATGCCTTCATTAAAGTACTGGCAGTACAGTAGTTAAGTAACGGGAAGTTTGGTGATGTGATCCTGATGTGATAGAATTTATTTCTTTAAATTTTTACACTGCTTTGTCCTACTCTACCTACCAAATGGCTCATCGCCAATATATGAACCTGTAAAATTACAGCAAGTCACCATGCTGGGTTGTAAAAGGTTTAATTACACAACTCAAATGCCAGTTTTATGCTTGTGCTTAACACTTCCTGAAATTATACCTGAACAAGCATCCCACGGGCAAGAACAAGGCACAGGACTACACAAGCAAGCCAAAGTTCACAAACTATACAGCCCAGAGTATCTAGTAACAGCAGGAAAAGGAAAAAACCCATAAAATGTGCAGTCTGTAGATTGGATTTCTCTCACCTAACTTCAGATACCTAAATTTGAGATCACTGTTCCTTTCACTGTGTGTGTCCTTTTACTCAGCCGAAAGACGTGGGCACATTTAGTGAAGATTTATCTCATCTTAAACCAGATCAGACTGCAGACCTTGTAAAGGGTACATGAAGTGATGAGCTCACCTTTAGTTACCTGAAGTTTCATGAAACCATACATACTCTCTTTATTTACAGTAAACTGGAAATAACAACACGAGGCATTAGGTTCCTCTGTGCCCATTGTCTTTTGTTGGTCAGCTCAGCTGGCTACATCCCTCCATGAATCAGAGCACAATAAACAGTTAAGAACTACTCTCTTCATATGCAAGCACCAGAGGTTTGTTAGTAACACCATCTAGAGAACTTCACCTTCACCAGTTTTCCATTGATCTCTGGTATGTCTCCAGCTTTCCGATTATCCAGCATCCGTATTTCATAGGACTGACCTTTAAAAAGAGAAGATTTGTATCAGCAGAAGCTATTTTGTGTTTAATGCACCTGAACTAGCGTTTGGTTCACAGGACATAAGAATACCAGTACCTGAAACTTCTTTTTTAATAGCAAAGTTCACTTCACAACACAGGAATTAATGGAACAAAATGACACTTTTTGGTCCCCTTAAAACTACAGACACTTTCAAAGTTGAAGTATTTCATTTCGCAAGAAGTGTAAGCACTTGTTTCTCTATTACTATTTTTCAAAAGCTGTATTCCTTTATTTCTGAAACTGATAAAAGGCAACACAGCCTGGTCTTCTGAAACAAACTCCTGCACAATTTTTGTACTCTTCATACAACATACATACTACTCGCCCATGTTTCATTTTGCCCACGTACCTGTTGACTTCATATGATTTTTAGGCTTTGTATAACTTCAGAAATAAGCATTTGAAAGAGCCAGTTACTCATTATTTGAGCAAATATATGAGCAAACCTATCTTCCCAGTGGATGTGATGAACTGGTGTGCTTCAAAAGACAAAGCTGGAAGTCATTTATTTGAACTACAGGATTTTTTTTTCTTCTAAGGGGAGCAGCACATACTCATTTGCAAAAATCACATTTCCCTAAATGCAGGACAAAACAGATTTTGAAGTTCGCTAAGATCAAGTGCATTAAATTTATTACCTTCTACATTACCCTCCAAACTACCTTTACATTCTAGCATACACTACATTTAAAAGACATTTATTGACTTGCCCTACAAGGCAGAAGTTCAGCTGTCACAGCCCTGTGATAAGCAAAGGATTTCTTCAATTCATTTCACTGCATCACAGACTGATGTGACCTCCAAATATGGGCTGTGACAATTAATACTCTACATATGTACAGACTTACTTTACCCCAGCAGCATTTGATCACTGGCAAGACCATTGATTACATAAATCCATACCAAAACCAAAAGAACCTAGCACAGCTGAGTAAAGCAATGGATCATTCATCCTCCTATACTCAACAGGAGGGAACTTCTTCCTGTTAGTAAGATTTGTTCAAGTGCCAGTGTTATTTTACTCACACATAACATATGTAAACAGTCTGCATCTACAGACAGCTTTTTTTCAATCTGGCACTATTAATAAAATTTGGAAGTATTTCTCTGTTCTCTCTCATCATTTTTTTTTGAGAGGGGAGAGAAGAAAAAAAAAAAAAAGAGACTGATTGCTCAAGAAGTGTTGTTAACCTTTCAGAGGCATAAAATAACATTAAGACTGATGATTTGATGAAGGTAAAAATCAAGGAATACCTGCCTCAAAAATAGCATGAGAAGTTTTCAAGGCAAATGGACAGAAACATTCCAGTCTAGAATTCTGGATCTGAAAGTGTGAAGTGTGGAAGTGCTGTGGTGCTTCCACACACAGCAAGCACCACAGCACTGATTTTAGTCATCTCTGCATGGCAGCTAGGTATGCTGCTTCCTCTGCTCTTTCCTGGAGAGTAGCCATAAAAGCAATGCAGCACCAGATGCAGTACCCTCTTCCACAAAAACTACACAATGGTCAAGTTTGGAAGGAACTACTGGAGGTCATCTTGTCCAACCCCCCTGCTCAAGCAGGGCCACCTAGAGCCAGCTGCCCAGGACCCAACTTATTAAGCAAACCAATGTACCAGTACAACTCAGTGTTGCAAACTGCTCCTGATTTTAAGCTGGCTTCAGAAGGGAAGTTGGCCAAGTGTTCTTATTTTTCCCCATATTTCATTAGAAGGAGGGTATACCAATCCTTTCGTTTTCTGACATCAGGAAAAAAGTTACCAAAGACACTGAAACCAGAAAAGCTTATTTGCAAAATAAATCTTGACAGTAAGAGATTTTCAAGGGCAGATGAAACATTTAGAGTCATTTCAGACACTGTCACTTAAATGGCAAGCTCTTCTAGGCAAGAGAGCAAGCACTTTCCTCCTTCAGCTTTCAGCCCTGTGCTGGCTCCCGACACAGAGCTGAGCTTCAAGGGAGGCTGGATCCTGGCACTGAGGAAAACAAAGTATATTTCTACAAAGCTTAAGGTTTATAAAACTTGGAAGCTTTTTAAGCAGCACAAAGCATCCTGCTGGCGCAGCACACTGCTGCAGTTGTGCTGTTCTCTCCTGGAAAGAGCACTCAAGCTACCAAGTGGTTAAAAATAAACCTGACAAAGCAAATGGCTCAATGCTGCGATTAGGTCTTTGTAAGACACCAGAAATCACCTAAAGAACATCCACTATTTGCATTAGTAGAATAGTCAAGTATTGTTTAAAGTACATTTAGACCAACTGGATGCTGCAAGATGAATCACTTAGCAGCTTTATTCACATGGAAAGCTGAAAGGATGCTTTGTCATCATGACAGTATCAAATTATATAAAATCTACTCTCTCAGATTTAGGGCTTCAGTACACAGTTAAACAGTTCCAGGCATGACATGCCTCACATTATCATGACATGCATCATGTTCACAGCACTAGAAGCATTTCAACTTGAGCAAGAATGTTATCCTGTCAAGAAAACACAAGTAAAATGTAAAAGATACTAATTCCAGCAAATCTAGTAAAGCAATTAGTACGTTAAACACCTCATCAGACTAAAGAAAATTCACCAATACATATTTTAACCTGTGTCCTCTTCACTGCACACTAAGGTAATACAGTGCTCAGAGAAGCACACGATCTAAGAAGATTAACTGTACCAAAATATGGTAGGATATGGAAAAGAAATGGTGAATGTCATTTTTTAACTTGTTTTTATTTTTCATACAAGTCATTCTGCAGGACTGTGTCCTCTAATCACACTGCTGTCTATTGAGAGATCTGGGGTCAAAGTCCACAAGGAAAAGTAAAACTAGTGACCCTAAAGCATGAGAGCCAAAGGAGGGGGAGAGAGGGATATGAGTGTACAAAACACTGATACAGTCCAAAACACATGATGCATATACGAGTTCAGCATCCTAGCTGACTAAGATTAGGACACCAATGTCATTTCCAGAGGTGAGGGAGGTTTTATCACATGGCAATGACTACATTCATGTGATTCTACCAGCAGTCAGTGCCCTCTTTAGAAGAAAAACTGAATTTTCATGCAAATCAACTGCAGGCTATGAGAGAAAAAAACCAGCAAGACTCACACAAAATACTTATTGTTAATTTCTGATAAATGTAGGCAGAGGATAGTGAAATTACACACAAACTACAAAGGCAGCTGCACTTGTGGTTTTGATTCAAACATAATACCGTTCTGGGCAGATAAGCATAGATAACTTGAGAGTGATTACAGTGGCCTCTGTTATGAAACACTTTGCTTAGAATTGACATTTTAACATTCAGTACGACTTTTTGGGGGGTCTGTGTGTGCCTTAGCAATTTAATCAGACTGTACTTGCATATTATCAATCAAGTTTAAACACGAATGCCACATTAATCCTGTATTTTAAGCTATTACTGCCTGAAGTTTGTCTCCTAATAGCTCCATCAAGTTGATTTTACTGGGGGAAGTGGGGGATGGAGATGGGTAACACACAGAGGGGTGAGAAAGAAAGAAAGAAAAACCAAAACAACAGCCTGTAAAAGGGAAGTAATGACAGACAATAGCTATGAGTCTGCAAGTTGGATGAAACAAGATTACTAGTAAGGTATCCAACCTCATTTCTGACATGCATTTAACTTTGGATGTACCCACATGTATCAAAGCATGAAATACAATTCCAGTTTTGGACTTGCACCAGAAGCTGCATGCACTATAGTTATGCTTGCAACGTATGTATACCAACCTTGATTCAAGTATGTCAGAGTTTCATCATATAATTTTACTGCTGGAGATGTTGCAGCACACATAACGTACTGGAAGGGTGGATGTTTGGTCTCATTTTCTTGTGGAAGGCTGGAATCTTCCTGTTTGAAAATAGGCAGTGCCAAAACATCACTGAAAAGAATAGAAATAACTCTGTGAGACTGCTGGCCCTGTTTTACCTGAAGTTAAAGAGAAAAAGAAGTTGTCTGTGACTTAAAAAGCCACAGCAGAATATATACAGTATTGTGTCAATTTATTAGTGAAACCAGTGGGAGCAACATTCAAAACATTTCCCACCAAAATTTTAGGCTACAATAGACAAGCAATGCTTTGGGACCCAACCGGACAATGCAGTTGTGTTGACTCTCTCAACATTTAATCTGCAGTTCTTGTCTCCACCAAAAAAAGTCATCCTTTCAACCTATCAACACAGGCAAGTTTGCCTAATATACACGCAGCTCTCAGCTTTGAAATAATACATTCCTCAAAGTAAGCTATGTACCCTGTGAAAGTCTCTCTCCCCATTTAGTATCATTATATCTAACCTACTAATTCTGTTGACATTGAAGATTTTTCAGTCTCAGCTTTTATAGGGCTTTAGCATAATGAATAGTACAAAACCCATTAAAAAGCAGCTTCACAAAACAGAAGTTATAGAAAGTACATACCACGATTCACTTCACCTATAGAAGACAATCAGAGAAAGCTGGAAACTGACAAGTTTCTGAAGAGTAAAGAGCAATCAATGCTGTTTGCAGTAAGAGCATCACTACAGCCAACAAACACATCTGCTTTCATCAGAATTAAACACTCTGTATTAGCAATAGAGTCATATTCCTCATATACAGTAATGCTGTTAAATAAAACTTCTGATTAGTGAGTTGTGTTCAAAGTCTTTTTCTTTGAATTTTTGTTCATGATAAAATTAACTGCAGCTCCATGAAACTTTCTTTGAAAATTAGTTTCTAAACTGATGAAAGACTTCTCACATCACCTCACTTGTTGATTCAGGTTCTAAGCTACATGCATCTTACTTGTTTCTTTTGCACTGATCACAATCATAACTTAATATATTTTGTAACAGAATCATCTCATCTGTATTGCACTATTATTTACTCTTTGTACCTTCACATTTTTTGAAGTAAAATTGCTTTTTTTTCCTCCTGTTCCTCATTTCTGTGAGAGCCTGCTTTATGTAAAGAGACCTCTGTTAATTCCTCTTGATTTCCAGCTCATATGTGGGGAATCAAAAAGTACCAGGAAAATAATCAATTCAAAACCTGAATTTAGACCCAGTATTTTTGTGCCACAAAAGGTTATAGAATAGACTTGGTCTATGTAAATATTGGATATGAGAAGTGTTACTGCGGCACCCAACTGTTCTTTCAGAGCATGTGCCACATTACACTCCACTCGCTACCTGGCAGAAGCTACAATGAACTGAAAAAGGAAATACTTACAAACGGTGAAAAAGTTTAAGACATTTGTCTATACCTTGTAGACACTATCCCAAAAATATCAACTAGAAATAAGAAAAAAGACACCCATATAGGTTCCTTTCCACTAGGAAGAAACGACAGAAGATGCTACAAACAGGCATGAAGGCCAGGTTGGACGGTGCTTGGAGCAACCTGGTCTGGTGGGGGGTGTCCCTGTCCATGGAACGGGGTTAGAACTAGATGGTCTTTGGGTTGGACAATCCCTTCCAACCTAAACCATTCTGTGGTTCCATGAAAGCAGGACAGGTTAGGATACTGTCCAAAAAAAGCACTACAAGCCTGCTGAACCATCTTAGCCACTTCTAATGCCAGCTCCCCAAACTGAAGCCCAGAGGAAGCTTGTATTCTTTAACTAGTTACAGAGGAAGATAATGTGAAATACCCACCTATAGGAAGCAGACACTCTTAAAACAGTCAGTCTACTTCCACAGAGAAAAGGAAAATCACATCCAGAGGTAGGACAGAAAATTTCCTAAATGGGTGGACTGCTGCCTAAGGATGACTCAGAAGAAGCAACCAGATGCTTCATGCCTTGATGTCAGTCAAAAGGGCAGCATGAACAGAGGGCAACCCAACAGAAGAGGGAGCGCTGCGACCAGCAGAGAAGCACTGTCTCAGCGCAGGACTTCTACACCATTAACCCAAGCTCCTCACACACGCTGGCACATGAAGTACTAGCTCGTGTGTTTGTGAAGAGGAACTTTAAAACAGAAAGAACATGGAAACAATAACAATGTTTAAACCACACACATAAGAGTCTAAGTGCAACACAGAAGGCATGCAAAGTACCTCACCATATCAGTGACCTGTAGTTGTCAAGTTCCGCAGCACTTGCTTTCACACAACACATAAGAGAAGTACTTTGTATATTTACGAAAAGTATCCTTCAAGCCTTACTTTTCCACAATTTAAAGACAAAAATGCATTTGGTATAGCTTAAAAACATGTGCCATGGTTAATGAACTAGTTAAATTAACAGACAAGGCATTGTCAGCAAAAAAAAAACACCAATGGAAGACAAATTTAGCCAGCTTTAAACCTGCTTTTGGTAATACTTACACAAAGTGGTAATGACTAATCTCCACTGTGGAAGAGAGAAAGAAAAAAACCAAAAAAGTCATCCAACTCCTGAACCCTGCAATTTACTTATAAAGAGCATAATGTGCATTCTTAAATGCCACCAGGCCATTAAAAAAGCTCCAGCAAATAGCACAAGGCAAATATAAGTATCTTCATTAATTTTCTCAGATAAAAACACCCTTTTCTTATAAAAGAGCCTTCTGGGTACTAGTACATTCCAAAGGAAAAGAGAAGCCAATGCAATTTAAAACTCCTTCCTAGACCATCTTTAAATAAATACCACTTAAATAACACTTTGGTATATTCACTCATAAAGAATGAAATATCACTGTTTTCACATTTAAACATGTACGTGTTTCCACCTAAAACCAGGTAAGAGCCATGGGCAATTAAAGAGTCAATGTGTTACGAACAAAGTATTTCAAGTTAAAAGTGCCACTGATAAAGAAACGTTAGCTGATTTACCACCAGCTATTAATTTCTCTTAGAAACAGTGATGCATCTTTTCCTGCTTTCCAGAAGGAAGCTGCTAGGAAACACCTGGTCTATAATGCAGCCACTGTTGTACAGCAACAGAGGACGACCAGTTTATTTGATAGCATGAGCCTAAGGTTCAGCAATGCAAAAGGTCTTCTGGGCAGTACTGGCATAAAGGGTTCCTGCACACAAGCTGCTCCTTGCCGACCCTTCCTCTCTGGGCTGGGCTGGGAGCTCTATCATAGCTAGCACACAGCTACGCAAGTGAGGGCGGTGAAAGCAGGTCAGAAAAACCTCACTTTAGAGAAACCCCCATCCTACCAGACAAAACTTGAGGACAGGCATTGCATGTCAAGCTCATTTGCTTCCTCAGGACTGGCAGTAACAGTGATAAAGGAATCACGATGTCTACATCTACTCGGAGATCATTGGAATGATGTACAGGAATCATTTCTGTACACCTCAGCAGCCTTCGGTCATTTTCCTACTCACCCAGTGAAATCTGATTTCCCAATGCAGATCCGAGACAGGCACTTTCCCTGCCAGCTTTGCTCATGGCAGAGAATCTCCCACTGCACCTGAAGCCCCTCCTGGCAGGGTTGCCCAGAAGGAGGAAAAATCAGTTTTCCAGAAGAGCTACTGTTGAAGTTATTTTGGGCTACAGCAGAAAAGAGCTTTAAGAAACTGATTCTGTTCTTTTTCTGCCACTGATAACTTTTTATCTTGGGAAGCAAGATACTAATTTACTGGGGGGTTGGACTAGATGATCTTTAAGGGTCCCTTCCAACCCAAACTATTCTATGATTCACTTGTCTCATTCAAGCGAACTTTGGGCCCCTGGCAGGCAAGCTGAAACATAAACGAATAGCAACATTTTGAAGAAGTAGCATCTTCTGTTAGACTTCTTGATATCATTTGAAAAAAGCAGATCAAGTTTACTCTCCTGCTGGATGGAACTCCGAGACCAAATTTTTGAAACTATGAGCTCCAGTAAGAAAAGTCTTATCTCAGTCATGTCATCCCCCCCAGTTTGTTACCTAAAGCATCCAACTGAAAGCATTCTTTCTTCCTAGAGGACAAAATTTTCCCAGAAAAGCAAACAGAAACAGTCTTCATTCTACACCAAAGCAGACAGTCAGAAATTCTCAATACCCAGTGTTAGCCAGCTATGCCACAGAAATGCATAAATGAGACTTCACAGGAAAGCAGGAAGGCTTAGAAGAGGAAGCAAGGTGCATGTTAACACTTGAACCAAAGCGTCCACTGGGATGGACCACATGCGATAAGCTATCCTGTGCTATGTAGGCTACACGAGCACAGTACTGAAAGACCAAGAAAAATGGAAGTTATCTTCCCATGCTTGTGAAATGACTTCGTCAGGCACAAAAATCACCTTCCTTCCAAATTTAAACCCCTCTTTTCAACACTATTTCTGAAAGAAAACCAACAAACCTGCCTAATAATAATAGGAGGATGGCAAAATGAAGAACATCCTGTCCTTACAAGAACAGGAACTACATGTCACCAAAATTCAAAGTGACATTCCATCAATCATCTGCCTTACTTGTTTTCTGGCTTGTCTACTTTTGGGTGTGAGTGCTAAAGCATCCAAGAACATGCAGGTCTTCCCGAAACTTTAAAATCATGGTTTACAAGGACAAATACCTTGAGAAAAAGTGCTTCTCAAGCAGTATCTGAATTGCAGTTATGATCTCAAAGCCACACTCTGCACTGTTAACAGAGGTCTGGGCAAACTATAGGAAAATGTAAGGGAACAGGAAAGCTGATATCCCATTCTCCATCCACTGGCCAAAACAGGGAGCTCTGGCAGTTGCTCCAACTTGCAGCAGCTATAGTACACAGTGCTCTCATGCAGGAGTAATGCATAAGGCGTAAATGAGGGTTATCTTGCTGCCCTGCTCTAACAGTGCACATCTATCCACCATCAGAAGTGACAGGGGAACGGAGAAGACAGGAATGCAACATGAATTCTTTTCCTTAGGAATTAAATTGGTCTCCTTGACTTTTTGAAATATATTCACACAAATTTGACTGGGAAGAAAACAAAATAAAACAAAGCAAAAAACTCCAAACAAGACCAATGTCAGTGACCTAGAACACGA